AACCTGTCCAAGGTCTTCTAGGCCTAAACTTTAAATAAAAAAGCTTTTAGATGAAAAAAAAGAAATATTGTAGTCCTTCTAGCTGAGTCACACAATCAGCTTAACAAATTACTGAATAACAGTTTAGCCACAAGTTATAAATGTGATAGACAGACAGTATCAGGGCTTATATATATAAATTCTACTTAGCTTAGCTGGAGACACAAGTGTGATAAATTAGGTCACATTACCTTCTCTTTATCACAAATTAAACACACACACACTGACTGTTACCCTGGCTCTTGTGACGTACATTGTTTATTTGTAAAGCAAAGTGATGCATTTCTAAACCTGCAGAAGGAGAAAATTACTCATATAAAGCAGGGAACGGGGCAGTTAGAGCTCTTGGCAGACTTGTTGCTGCAACCTGAAAGCAGCATCCGAAACTCTGCTACCCCCAGCATTCACCCTCCCACCAGCACTGCTGTTCCTTCTCAATGTCAGCAGAGCTCTTAACTGTCAGATGCCAGCTATTGTCTTTGAGCCAAAAAACTAGGTGTTAGTGCTAAAGTGTAATGACAAAAAATTAAATTTCTGCCTAGTTTCAAGAAATGGAAATTTCAGAAATCATGAGAACTGATAATTAATTTTTTTTCAGCATCCCTCCAATTACAGAAGATTTTAAGTATTAAAAATACTTTACAAATAGGTCAGATTCAGAAGCTATACTAAATAATTCAGTATTAATGCAACCATTAACAGAAGAAGAGAGATTAAATATTGCAACATCAAAACTCTATAAATAAAGATGAAAAATTCCTGGCAGCAAACATTGTTGAGTAACGGAGCTGTGCTACCAGCTAACCCAAATGTGAGCACTTCCACTTCAGCAGCAACATTCAGCAGTAAGACAGAATATATTCAGAATAATCTGCCTATTGAAATGTTTGTTTGCAAACCTCTAATACTCTGTATTTATCATTTCTTTATTTACTGAGAGTTTTAGAAATGAAAAGAATCAAGAATACTTGCAAGAATACAGCAGCAGCTAATATTGCTTCATATTAGCTAACCACGGTATGACAAGAGGTAAAAATCCCCAAACAACTCTTCCTCCCTTGCCCTAAACAGTGACGTTTTGAGTAGAAAGGCCTGTAAAGTGGGAAATCAAAGTTGTCACAGATTTATTACTCAGAAGCCTGTTGTTTTGACTAGTAAGGTTTAATTAGCTTCAAACAATTGCCAAAGTGTATGGCTGGGGTAAAACTAATGCTCCATTCTATCATGAACAACTTTTTAGCAGTGGTTTTACAATGCCTATCTCAATAGTATATTATGATAACACTCTGGCTATTAGCTAAACTAATTGCTGCAAAGCACAATACTCCACAGAAATATTGGGAAAACTGCTGTCAAGTAAGGAAAATACGAATACTTTTAGGAAGCTTTACTACTACACCATGGGTGACACTATTCATATGTATTTATGAGTTCATGTAAAACTTTTAACATAAGGGGGAAACACAAAATGTCAGAATGCACTGAAGTGCTAAGTGTTGAACAGATTTTTTCCACTATAATCTCCTCTCACAACCACAAAATGAATGTAAGGTGCTCCATGATTTCTGTTGATTGGACCCTGGGGTGCAGCCAAATTTTGCCTCTGTCAGTGTCAAGGCAGAATAACTAAAAATAGCTTTTAACGCATTCACTTTTTCACCTCAATAGCAAAATGAAGCAAAGACAGTTTCACAGAATCACGGAATGATATGGGGTTGGAAGGGACCTCTGGAGATCATCTAGTCCAACCCCCCTGCCAGAGCAGGTCCTCCCAGAGCAGGTTGCACAGGAACGTGTCCAGGCAGGTTTTGAATGTCTCCAGAGACAGAGACTCCACCACCTCCCTGGGCAGCCTGTTCCAGTGCTCTGCCACCCTCAAAGTGAAGAAGTTCCTCCTCATGTTTAGATGGAACTTCTTATGTTCAAGTTTGTGCCCATTTCCTCTTGTCCTGTCCCTGGGCACCACTGAAAAAAGACTGGCCCCACCCTCCTGACACCCACCCTTTAAGTATATAAAGGCATTGATCAGATCCCCCCTCAGTCTTCTCTTCTCCACACTAAAAAGACCCAAGTCCTCAGCCTTTACTTGTAAGAGAGATGCTCCAGGCCCCCAATCATCTTTGTAGCCCTCTGCTTTACCCTCTGCAGCAGTTCCCTGTCCTTCATGAACAATTCCTTCAGAATTGGATCGTTCAGAAATTATCCAATTTCCCAGTGCTAACAAAATACAGCACCACTGGCAAAGCTTATCAGAAATCAAAACTCGTAAGACGGAATAATTACATTCACCATGTGAATGTTCCCCATTGCTTTGCAAGGCCATGTTGTTTCCCAAACCAGGTGTCTCACCTTTAATGTTGTCCTTGTAGAACTTGTTGCTCTCCTCCACTGTACTGAAGCCAGCATATTGGCGGATAGTCCACGGCCTGTAGGTGTACATGGTCGGGTAGGGTCCTCGAGTGAAAGGTTTCACCCCCGGCAGCTCCTCAGGGAGATCTTCCGTGTCCCTTTTGGAGTATAAGGGCTTGATGTCGATCCCCTCTGGTGTGTGCCAAATTAAATCCTTGGGATTCTTGCCCTTGAGCTGCTTTTCAGCAAGGGCAGCCCACTCGGGGTGCAGTGGCTGCCTGTGCAGCGACCGCCACGCGAGCCTGGGGGCTGGAAGCTGTGCCAGGCACATGCCGTGGTGGGGCCGCAGGCGGAGGAGAGCATCCTTGGCTCTGAGCATGTCTGCCCCACGGCTGGTGAGTACGGTGTAAGCTGAAGAAAATAAAAGCACATATTTAGCATTATCAGACAAATCCGACATGGGAGAAGTGAGCATGGAAAGGTCACGCAGTTTGCTAAAGCCAAAACTAAAGAAAAAACTAAATGTTTTTATTCACTTACTCATTATTCACTGCCTCCCCTTGACCAGACAATGCATAAAATAGAGTTCAAGAAAAAGCCTACATTTTTTTCTAGTTAAGGAAAGCCTTCCTACAAGTCGTCTACATCTGCGTATGAAATGTGTAACTTATTTCAGTACCCTAAGCAGCACCATCATTAATTAGTCACTGTGAAGTCAGTGTTATGCACTGTACACCCAGCCACCTTCTTCACCTCTCTCTCTCTCATCTATGAATTATTTTATGAGGGTCCATCAACATCAGAAGAGACACTGTGAAGGGAGCAGACTGTCAGAAAACTGCTCACAGGTCATACACTTTGGAAACAGTGGCTTGGGTTGGATGAAAATCAGAGCTACGTTAACAAAGAAAGGAGCAAAAAAATCAGTATGCAAGAACACAGGGACAATACAAGTTGCAGAGCTCATCCCACCATGGATGGGATTGTGAGGGGGGATAAGTCCAGTAACTCCTGAAAACTGTAAGCTCCTCTGCTTCCATACCCTACCCCTGCACTCCTTCCCCAAGCCAACACCTTTACAGTTTGTCTTTAAGGGACTGTCACCTCCTCTCTGCCTCATCTCCTTCACCACTCCTTAGAAACACAACGCTTCCCTGACGCCTTTTATGAGAAAGCCTGCATAAAACTGGAAAGCATCTCCATCACTGTTACCACAGAATCACAGAATCGTAGTGGTTGGAAGGGACCTCAGAGATCATCGAGTCCAACTACAAAAAAAAAAAAACCACCAAAAAAATCACAACTCCCACCACCTAAACACACAACAACAACAACCAAACCAAAAACCATCACCCACCCACACAACATCCCACCACAAACCAATAATCTTGGGCACTAGAGCATGCCCTGAAGAGCCATGTCTACACGTTTCTTAAATACCTCCAGGGATGGTGACTCCACCACCTCCCTGGGCAGTCCATTCCAATGCCTGACAACCCTTTCAGTAAAGAAATGTTTCCTAATATCCAACCTGAACTTCCCCTGGTGCAACTTGAAGCCATTACTCCTTGTCCTATCGTCTGTAACTCGGGAGACCGACCCCCGCCTCTCTACAGCTTCCTTTCAGGTACTTGTACAGAGCGATAAGGTCTCCCCTCAGTCTCCTCTTCACAGAATCACAGAATCTTCTAGGTTGGAAGGGACCTTAAAGATCATCTTGTCCAACCGTCAACCTAACTGACAAAAATAGACACCCACACAACAAACAAGGAGCATCATCACTAAACCATACCTCCCAGCACTACATCAACCCGTCTTTTGAACACCTCCAGGGATGGTGCCTCAACCACCTCCCTGGGCAGCCCATTCCAATGGCTGATAACCCTTTCAGTGAAAAAATTTTTCCTAATATCCAGCCTGAACCTCCCCTGGCGCAACTTGAGGCCATTTCCTCTTGTCCTGTCACCTGTGACTTGAGAAAAGAGACCGACCCCCACCTCTCTACACCCTCCTTTCAGGGAGTTGTAGAGAGCAACAAGGTCTCCCCTCAACCTCCTCTTCCCCAGACTGAAGCAACCGTGCTGGAGCAATGCAGGCCCCACAAGTGCTTTAATAATATATATGCTACGCGTGGTAAATGTATAAAATGATGAGCAGAGAGGAGCCCCAGAGGAGCACTCGGTTCCCTACAGAGGGTGGAAGGCAACTTCTGCCTCTGCTACTGCAGGAGTCCCGACGCCATCCCCCCGAAGGACCCCCAAAGCCGCCCTGTGGCCTCTCCCTGCACCCCTCACACCACAGCACCCACAGCCGAAAGGAGGGGGAAGACCAGAAAGCCCCGGCCCGGCCTGGCAGCCCCACACCGCCCTCACAGACCCTCCTTGAAGCGCCCGGCACCCCCCCCCCGCAACCCCGCCGCCACAGCCCGCCCCCAACACGCCCCCTCGGCGGCCAATAGATACGGAGGGACGGTAGCGGGACTACCCCGGAGGGTCGCGGCTCTACCTACCCGGGGGACAGGAGCGCTAAAGCCGGGCTACGGCCTCAGGAGGGGCCCGGACGCCGTCCGCCCCCCGTTACCTGCTGTCAGCCCCTCCGCCGGCTCCCCCGACCCCCGCGGCGCTGCGCAAGCGCCAGGCAGCCCAACACGCATGCGCTAGAGGGCGCGGCTCCGCGCACGGCGGCGGGAAGCGGCAGCGCGCATGCGTCCGGAGGCGCGGCGGGGAAAACGGATCGGTTAACGGCTAGGCGGGATCGCTGAGGTAGGCGCCGCGGCGGTGAGCCGGGGGGCGGGATGAGGTGGTGGGAGGCTCTGTGGTGTTCCCCGCGGTGTTATCCGGCAGCCATGGGGAGCGGGAGTTTGGGGGGTACGGGTAATGTGGGGTGGGGGAATGAGGACTACAATTTCCAGCATGCACCTCGCGCCCCGGGCTTGTGGCAGTGCGGTGGTGGGGAGCGTTGCATGCCGGGAGTTGTAGTCCGCGCCTCGCCCTCTGAGGTAGGCTGTGGTACGAAATTAGCAGTTACTGACGAGGGGCAGGCAGAGATAATTTACCTGTTTTAGGTCGCGACTGTCGCCTGGAGAGCGGTGGCGGGGTTTTTGCGTGAGGGAAGAAGTGTCCTGAGGGGATGAAAGTGAAACTAAATACATTTGAGTCGTTGTGCTTAGAAAGGAGAAGGCTGAGGGGTGTCACGGTTACTCTTTCTGTGTGACTTCTTTTTCCTCTGCCTCGATAATGAGTAAAAAAACCCTCTAACCATTCTATGAAAAAATAAGAAACTATGGATATAAACCCCAGCAGGGAATGTTATGGTTAGGTGCTTGGTTAAAAAGTTCTGGGAAGATAATGAATGCACTGAGCTGCATTAAAAAGATAAACAATTTCTGGTTTTGGAGGCCTTTAATAACAAATAAGACTGTTCCCAGTGCAGTTAGTGTTGTGTTGCCATTGCTGCTCCTTGGAGCTGCCAGCTTTTAAATTTAAAAAGAAATGGTTGAACACCCCAAGACTTGTCTGAAAGGCAAAGGGGGATGCTTTTTTAGTGGTCCTGCACTTAAATAAATATGCAAGATTTAGGGTTATAAAATAGGCAAGCATTTCACAGAATGATAGAATGCTTTGGATTGGAAGGGACCTTAAAGAACATTGAGTTCCAACCCCCCAATTGAGTTCCCCCCCCAACACCTCTCACTGGACCAGGTTGCTCAAAGCCCCATCCAGCATTTTTTGTTTTGTTTCCTCCTCTTCCCTTTGGTTTGCAGATAATGAAGCACCGGCACGCATCTTCTGGTAAAATGGGGGAGACCCCTGGTAAGGGATCAGCAAGAAAAGCCTTAAAATCACAAAATCAACAGGGCTCTTCCAGAAAAAAGAAGGGAACAGATGGAGAAGGACGAAAGCAAGGTCAAAAAAGAAAGGTAATCAATATTTTGCATCAACAAATTTAGAAAAGTAACCAAAGGAAAAAAAAGGCATTTTTGCCTAGTTTTCTGCTGGAATTTATAGAAAACATTTAATTAACCAAATGTTTGGTTGCAGCATAGGGTGTTTCGATATTACCATATTTGCTGTAAGTTTGTCTTTTCAGCAGGTTACTCAGACAGTCAAAGGGAAAGCTCAGGAAGACGAGGACTATTCCCCTGCAGGTAGGATTGTATTCTTGCCTTATTTTTGTCTCGAGCAAAGTGAATGTTTGGAAAAAAAACTGGAAGTAAAAGTAGGAACTGCAATGTTGAAATCATAGATGTCTGAGGTGTCACTGAAATAAGTTTCAAAGTTTTCTTTCTGAGCCGTAACAGTGAGTATTTGCAGTATGGTTAGCCAGTGTGCATCTGTCTCGTAGGTGTTGTATATGCACATATTAATCATATACGTTTGTCACAAGTAGTATTCTTCTCTTGTAAAATTCCTCCACCCAGAACATTTTAAATTTCTCTTCATGGGTCACTGTCTTCTCTATTAACCTGTCTTAAGACTGGCATGTGTTATATTGAACATACAAATGAGACAAGACCTCTGCTGCATTGAGTTTCTCACTTTATATATATTCCCACTCTTCTTTTTTTATTATTTTTTAAGTTTCATTCTGGGTTTTCTCACTTGTATCACCAATGATTTTGGAAAAGTAATTGTTTACAATGAAACTGCTGTAAGAAAGTTTTCTATTTTGTGCTTTTTTTAAACAACTTGTTACTTGCAAATAATAAGTAGCACCTCTTGTGGATAGATTTGTCCTGATAATTTTATGACATGAAAAAA